TGCAAAATCTGTAATTTCATCTTTGAGTTCTTTTTATTAGATACAAATGCCACAATCTTTTTTTTTTTGTTTTGTTTTGTTTTTTTTTTTGTCTGGGACTTCCTCTTGGATCACAGGTGCAACGAAGAGCAGAGAAACAAGTTGATGGCTTCTGCCCTCAACTGAAGTCAAACACAAACTGTTACAAAGAACATAATCTATAAACAATAAATTTATGTCTGTAATGAAAAAATCCCTCACAGTTAATGTCGCGATTTCACTTTTCCCCAGTGTAATGAAAGACGGTGAACACCTCTTACCTTGCTCCACCGATGTTTTCTCTCAAGCTGCCCATCCTTGAACAGACTGCAGAGCAACTCCTGGTTCTTCTGGGTGCACAGCCTGCACAGCACTGTCTTCTGTATCAGCAGTTGTTCTATGCTGCAAGGAGCTCCTTCAGAGCTGTCACACAAGAAGCATTTTTGCAGGACTGCGCATATATATGTAAGGCTTTGGTGAGCACCACGCCAGGAACAGAGCTGCTGATCTTGCAGTGATGATAACTAGCAGGTCTTTAGAGTCCTGGGCAAACTGTCCTCCTAGTGGCCATCTCCACAGCTTCTGCATGATGTTTGCAGACAAGTAGGAACTGTGCTTTTCCAGAAGATCTTGCTGTCGTCACACCTGAGGTTAACTAACAGGCTCCAGTGCCCACCTAATAAAACCCTCTGACCAATCTCTTCCAAGAGTTTTTGAGTGGAGGCATGAAGGAAGTGGAGTATGGAAGACACACAGAATGAAGGGCAAAACCCCCATGTGAACATAAGCCAGCCAATATGTCACCATATGGGGTGGGGGAAAGGAGGAGAGAGAAGTTAGAGCACATGTGCGTAGGGATCTGCATATAACAGCACTAGCAAAATCCAAGCTTAAGGAGCCAGGCATCACATAATACTAACTGCAGAGTAAATACATCAAAATCTGAAACAAAGTGAAAGGGCTTTGCCACACATCCCAACCAGGGAAGCAAACCCCATCAAAGCACATATGACATAAGGCCACTCTGAGAAAACTGCAACTGAGTTTGGGCTGGTAAACAAGGTAAGAGACAAGGATGAGCCCAAAGATAGGCACACTGACACACATCCATGTACTCTCTGCAACTCACTAAGCTGTTTAGTCCATAATTAAGCTCATCACCTCCTTAGCATCCCTGTTTTCCCCATAGCTCACAAATATTTACCCCTGCCTGTGACTATTTCATAGAAATCTGCATTATAATCCACAATTTTTGTTAGATGTGTGATGTTTTAATAATTAAAATCAAACTATACCTATTAAAACACAATAAGAAATTAATTTTGTGAAGCCCTGATGTTGCTTTGACCTTTTACAGTTAATTTCTCATCAATTAAAAAAAAATTATGGATAATGACGATACGATACATCCACGCAACTTGGAGGTTTTATTGTCAGTGTGCATGTAACAGGTCTGCTCTAGGCAAAGGAGGACGCACATAAAATATACATCAGGTGCACAATGCAGAAACACAATGAAAAAAGCCACGCATTCCTGGTTTTGCAAATGAGAACAGCTCCCTTACAGTTAAAAGCACATTTCTATCTCAGATAATGAGCATTTTGCCACTGGCTTTGAGAGAACCAGGACCCTACTCCAGAGTTTAGCCAAGATCTTATTGAAGTCAGTGGAAAAGTCGCACGAGAAAACAGTGGCCACCACATCACTTTTCAAAGCTGCACGGTTCTTTTCTTTATAATATTAGTGACTCTTGAAATGAATATTTTGGCAAAGGTGCTGATAACTAGCTCTGCTGCTTTTAGTACTGGTGCAGTTACAGTTTCTCTTTTATTGCACTTTTCAGCATAATTTTACACCAGAGACTGTGTGTATGTGTGTGTGCATGAGATAGACGGCAAGTGTTCTTTAAGTGTGGCACATGAAAAGATGATGTCTAACATAAGACCATGAATGTAAACTTGAACAAAACTATTTCGGACACCAGCACAAAAGGATACTTGTTTACCTTAACTTCAGCATGACTTCTCATGCAATTAATCATTCATATGGAATATCTGACACAGAGATAATACATTACACACTGCCTTTATAAATACGGGTTTACGTCAGACCTAAGCACCTTCACAGCTGCCAAGCAGCAAGTGCAACACAAGTCATGTGGACTGAAGAGCCATGGAGCAGATTAACATAAGTATCTTTTCTGAGAAGAAGGAAAAAAGAGTCATCCACTGTAAATGAGCAATTAAGTCCTGCTAGGCCATCATTCTCCGACCTGAAAACCTTCCAAATCTTGGAGAATGGTCAAGCACAAAATTAAACGAAACAATGATAGTATCTTCAGTGTAGAAAGCACTAAAGAAAATAAACACCAACACCACCACTGCAGCACAGAAAATGAAAACTCCTCACCTAGCTTTCCACCATTCCAAGAGGACAGAACCCAAATGAAGCCATACGCCACTTTACTGAACTGTGTATCTGAACTGGAAGCGATAGCAGTGGTATGCTCCAACTTGCTGACTTCTCCGCACTTGACAAACGAAACCAGACAAGGGCAATAGCATGATGTCAAGAGTGAGCTCAGTAAAATGCAAAGAGAGAACAATTTATTCGTTCACCACAACCCTGCCTGCAAAAGCAGAATGCATGTGTCCTTCTGTGAGTTCTTTTTTTTTCCCCAATGTGAGCAACAGCTTGCTATGCTTGTCATGAGCCTTGAATGAGGCACCTAGACACATCCCTGACAAAGGGAGATGATACACAGCTGAATATGCTCCAGCACACAACCAAGAAGCTTCTAAAGCTGTGGACACCAGAGGCAGTATACACCTGGTCACGCCATAGTTTGCAGACTGCAAAAGCAGATAGTCTACAACCCATCTGCAGCACCCACGTGAGAATCTGTGCACATCCCTTCACCCCTAATATGTATCCACAATAGGACAGTTTGGCTGACAGAGATAAGTGAGACATGGGGGATGATTAGAAGAGACCATGACTATGGTGTACAATCAGCACAGTGCAAGAAAAAGCATTTTTCCTTCATTTCTTCTCTTTCCCCCTACTTTGATAACGTATTACCAGAAGGTCCCTTTTCCAGCCATAAAACCTACCTTTCCAGTACCTGTCACACTAGCAAGAATTCTCTGCTGTGGGTGAAAAAGCTAGAAGAAATGTGCAAAATTAATCCTCTTCTAATTACTCCAGAAACCTGCATGCTAATGTAGTATCATAATAATTGGGATTACAAAGCAATTAAACTGTGTAAACGCCTGGAAGAGGGAGAAAAATTTGCACACTTGGAACATGCTTTGACTGAAAACGTGTGAGTAGCTCCACTGAAGGACTGTACTGCTGATGTTCTGCCAGTACTAAAAATGTCAGTGTAGACAAAGTCTTTGTGTCCTTTCTAACCACAGGAGCGCAGAAGGCTAGGGTTGGCAAGGATCTCACAACTTCATTTAGCCTATCTGCTGCAAGGCAGGACTGACACTGCTTATGTCATTCCTGGCAGTCCTTAGTCTAATCTGTTCTTAATGGCCTCAAGTGCTGGAGACTCCACAACCTACCCAAGCACTCTGAGACCTCTTCCTAGTCTCTGACTTGACTCTTTCCTACTGCATTAAATCAGTTATTCTTTACCCTTTGGCACACAAAGCAGTTTATTCCTCATATACCATTATTCATACACAATTATAAGCTATTACTGTGTTCCTCTGCCCCTGATTTTTCTTCTGCAAGCCAGCCAATCCCATTCTTTCATCAGAAGTGATGTTATCTAGATCTGTGATCATTCCCACTGCTCCTCCCTGAACTTCCTCCAACTGTTTATTCTTGCAGTGCCCAAACTGGACACTGTGTTCCAGCTGAAATCTGTCCAATGCCAGCACATGTCTTGCGTGTTCTCCCGTTTAGCTGCCCCAGTAAAACATCAGTATTTTCAAAACAGCTTGACATTAGTAACATGTTCAGACCATGACCCACAATAAGCTCCACATAGTTTTTCAATGAACTACCAAAACTGCAAAACGGTCTTATAGCTACAAAGGTGTTCTTCCTGCCTAACTGTACCCCTCTGCACTTGACTCAGTGACAATCCATCCTGCTTTTACTAGAACATTTCTTCAACCTGTCAGCATAATTCTGAATTCCAGCCTTGCCTCCCAGTGTTTTAGCAGCTCTTCCCATCCTCATATCATCTGAAAATTCAGCACTCATACTCTGTTCCACCACTGAGGTCACTAATGACAACAGCAATGAAAACTAGACCAACCCTTCCCACACTTCAGTATATCTTTCCATTATAATGATGGACCATTGATAACTGCTATTTGGGACGGCAATCCAATCAGTTTTGCATAGACTCAGTAGTAGTTTCATTGAAGACATGGTTCCCTTGATTGTTTATGAAACTGCCATACACATTTATGCTGAAAACCTTACTACAAGTCAAGATGTCTGGCCTCTGTTGTGCCTTCCATAGCTACAAAACTTGCTACTCAGTTGTAGAAAGATATTTTTTAAGTTTTTAAAAGTCATGTTGGCTGTTACTGAACTCCTTGTCCTCCTTCAGGTGCTTAGACATAATATGTTTGTTCCAGTTTTCCAAAGAACAAAATAATTTGCCTGTAATTCTCTTACATTACGCTTTTTCTTTCCCACTCTTCTAGCACTTGGCCTGTCTTCCCTTAGTTCTCAGAAGTAACTACAAATTATTCTGAGATTGCTTTAGCCAAGGCCATAAGTACCCTAGAATAAAGTGTATCAGGCACAGCTGATTTGAAAATATCAAATATGTCTGAACACATTCTAACCTGTTCTTGCCCTTTTTTAGCTTGTGATTTTACTCTCTGTCATAATGCTATAAGTGAGGGTGCACCTAGTGTGATGGACTAGTTCTGATCCCTGAGTTAAAATTCAATATAATTCCTTGTCCTCAGGTCAACCTATAGGCTCCTTTAAATCATAAAGCATCTCATACCTTCGTTCGTTGTCATCAAGATGAGCAAAGAGCACATTCTTGGAGATGGCTTTTGCCAGAGCAGTCATAGTTTTATAGTCCTTTGGAATAACCTGTAGGGAAAGGAAGGGTAATTACATGCCTGATTGTACTTCTTCAGAGATCTTAAAATCTCTAGAAAATTCGACTATTCAAGATAACGGATGCAGTTCAATTTCAAACACTTAGAAAGGTTTGGGCTATAATATAAAGCCACTAAGAAATAATAAATTAGTTTTGATAATGTGATGATAAGAGTTTATGTCCTCAATATGACAACCAGAAAAGAAATACAAGATCTAGGATGAGTGAGGAGGATATCGACAGAATACTATAATTAGCAGGCACTGGCATCTGTGTAGACTCCTTTCAAATCCCTTCAAATCCTTGAGGAAAACATATTTCATATTCTTCCTCCCTCACAAGCAATATTAGAAGCAACCTACTTTTAAAACTAGAGAATGAGCAACATTTTTTCAGGTAAAAGGTAAAAAAGCATAGATTACACCATACTTTTCAGTACTGGTTGTGGTGTAAGAAATAGAGTTCCTGAGAGGCCCATCTGGGTCAAAATCCCGTGCATTTGCTTCATGGCAAATGAGAAGGACTTGCATTTGAGAATGAAGAGGCATTTTTATTTGTTAACTGGGGAGAGGGAAAAAGTCTGTTGTACATGAATTTGCTCAAAAAATATATGTTGAAATTCTACTCTATAAATCTATACTTGCAAGTGTTATTAAACTTGCACAAGAATACTCTCCCATACTTTTTTTTACAATGAAAGGCTCTCTTAATTCTTTGTTTCTTGGGACAGAAATTCCCAGAGCAGCCAGTGAACTTGTATCATAAGTGGATGACAAAAGCACATCTGACTGCAAAGGCAAAAAGTATTCTGCCAAAAAACAGTAACTGACAAAATGTATTCCCACAAAGAAAAAGCTCTTTGGGTTAAAACTACTCCAGGCACGCACAAAAGCACATTAGTAGCATCTGTCAACCTTATGAAATGCATTTTTAGCCTCGCTCCCTAAACAAACATGACATACGCTATTGTAATGTCTGTCTTTTAACAACCTTTGAAAGCTTTGGCCAGTTTAGAAAAAAAATTGCAGCATTATTAAGAGATATCAAGGATATAACATAGCTACATATTTTAGTGAAAAAGGCAGTTAAAAAAAGAGAAGCTCAAATGAGAGCTCCTACTGAACAAGTTACCTACTTTGGGATTAGCTTTTCTTCAAAGACAACGGTCATATAAAATTGCCCAAGTGTGGTCAACAGATTTCTGAAAACCCATGGGCTAGGTGGTACCCAATCAACATGGGACCCATGTACCTGAATGGAAAAAATCAATGACCTAGGTTAGAAGAAAACTTGAGCTAGAAGTGACTTTTTGGGAAAAAAAAAAAAAAAAAGGCAGGAAATGCAGCAATAGAAAAGGCTGCTTTCCAAAACTGTGAGGTTCTGACAAAACTCAGAAGCTGACAGAGTCTGTAAATATCAATAAAATGGCTCAGAATTACCTACCCTGTTAAAGGGGGAAACGGATTAGCAGCACATCTCAAAAAGGAGAACAGAGAATGCTGAAGAAACATTGATGGGGAACGTACTTAGTCAAGGAGGCAGCAGAAGAACTTGAGTGTGAAGGTGGTCAAGCCATGCATATGTCAGCATAAGGACACCAACCTTCAGGCCGACCCATGATTTCAAATTGGAAACAAAATACGAGTCACTTGACTGTCCTGTACATCTCAGAATCAGACAAATAGCAATGCATTACCTTTCTGACGTAAGAAACAGCATCTTCCTCTGTGTACACTTCTGCACTGACCCCCCCTCTCCTGCGTCTTGCTTTTACCACTGGGTTGGGAGGAGGAGGGGAAATCTCATCGTCATGAGAATCAGACTGGGAACTGGATTTCTGCCGGGCCAGTATTTGTTTGCATTCTTCCTGCAAGGCAAAAAGAGGCAATGAAACATCTCTTACCCGTGTAGCTAACTTGCTGGATACATTCAATTCATGCTTCTTTTACAACTCTCAGCAACCTGTTCCTTTCTACGTTTGGATGACTGTCAATTTACATGTGTACTGCTGAAAGAAAATTAAAAATTTAATGTGAGCAGCATGAAGGGCTGATGCTAACTACAATGTGGGTACAGGTATCATCACTCCAGTACTTGACCTGTTCAACGCTTTCTTACACAGAAGCCAATGTATTATAAACTGCAGGCATCTTTGCAGCTACTCCTGGCTGACAAAGCAAAAGAACAAGCCTCTTCTGCTTACTCCCCAACATCACAGCTGTTATTTTCTCAGTTGGCTTGTTCATATCTTTGTCTCTTGTACAGAGAACATATCAGAATTCACACATCAATATATTAGACAGGTTTCTTCATCCTGCTCTGCTTTGCAGGCTTATAATCACCAGGAAGAACAAAGATGCTCCCTACTCCAGAATTTCTGCCATATAACAGATTTACAATCAATGGGACTACATCCAAGCAAATAAGATCCAAGGTAGGCTCAAGAGGACTATGACAAATTACAGCTGGCCAAGCATCAGCTGGCCAGTTGGGAGGTTATTCTCCAAATGTCAAACTTATGGAATAGAGAAAAAAAATACAAAGGGAAATCCCTGAAGAGACAGTAACAGGAAACAGCATAGAAAACCTTCAAGAAAGGGTGTCAGAGTTGCAAGACATTGTCTATTCATACACTGAATTATTTGACGTCTAAAAAATTGAAACAAACAACATTACCCATAACTACATTTTCCCAGAGCCTCATCTCCTATTCTTCAGCTTCTTGAGACTCAAGGGAAAGCACACAGGAGTAAAATTCTCTTTGTGTCATCCATGTCTATCAGCCAAAGGAACGGAGGCTTGTCTGCTCATTCCCACCCCACCTCCTCGCCCCCTGACACCAGCTCAGCCTGGCATCCTGCTCACAGCACACCACACTGCCTTTGCTACTTCTTAAGTACCTTCCTAGCTGGCTCCTTCTAGTCTTCACTGACACTGCCTAAGGCAAGGGAGAACTGGAGATGGGACGGACCATGTGTCCTGTCCTCAGCTTGTCTGATACAGGAAACCGAGGGGCATGTGCAGCAGTAGTCCCGTAATTTTATTAGCTGTCATCTATTACATGGCCATAGGCATAACCTGCACCCGATAGTCTCAGGGTTATGTTGATCAATGCACACATAGCCAACTCTTACCCAATGACTCCATGAACAACTCCAGTATTTTTGAGACAATTCAGATCAGCAGCATTGCAGAAAATGCAGTAATGCTGAGGTCCCTGCACACCCCACAAAACTAACATTCCTGTGACAGGAATACCAGAACCTGCCCTCTGCCTTACACAATTAATTTCCAGCGAGACTTTCTAATCAGACCCAACACGTGGAGTCGGTGGAGGAGGGAGGATCTGGGAGCACCAGTGCTAGACACGTGGCGGATTACCAACACAGCCAGTTGGTCTCATTGACAGAGGAAATGACTTAGAGTTAACTCATCAGGTATGACACCAGAAAAGAGTGGTACAGAAAACTGGCACAAGTTCACAATTTTTAAGCCTGCAAGAAAAACAGATGATTAATATATGTTTTGCCATTGATGTTTACAAATGTCGGACAAATCCAGTCGTGCCACTTGTCTCTTCTGGTCTTGTTCCAGTTTCTTTCTTCACCATCACTGACAATGCCCGTCTCATTAACCTAAGGAGACTTTGACACCAATCTTTGATGTAGTATTGCTACTTGAAGTAAAAAACTAAATAGTATTTCCCATGCTGCATAATTCGAAGTAGCAAGTCACACATTCTTGTTTTGATTAAAGGACTACTGGAATATATAAGAGACAAGCACAGAGTGAAAATGTAGAGGGCTGGCTAAAGATTTGACTTTTCAAGGTCCTGACCTGCCCCAGAAAGTGCCAAGTTCTTTCAGAGATCAGTATTTTTTTTTAAGTTGGGATTACAACACTGAAACTCCTGGGCCAAAACACAGTTAAGCTAGGTGCTGTAACCAAAATTCAGAAAAAAAGCTGACTTCAGAGGTATCAAATCCTTGCTGAAACTTTTTAATTTCACTTCAAATTTCAAATAGCAGCACTGGATATGTAAAAAATGACTCAGCTAGATCTTTCTATCCTGTAAGAACTGCAAATCCTATTTAAGCATTCTCATCAACTTCTGCCCCACATGCAACTCCTTTCTAACTGCCTCTAGCTTCCTTAATTACAATTATGCACTTGCAGAAACACAAACATTTAATATAAAAGTATGTGTGCTACATAGTACCATTACATTTAATACCTAACCATCAAAACCAAACCAATGACTGAAGAATTTCAAATAATATCACTGGCTATTGCAGTTCGTGTATCTCTTTGACAGTGTAACGTTCTCTGTTTATATTCAGTGAACATGACCAAATGCATCTTCTTCATAAGTTTAACTGAAAGGTAATGAAGACCTTTCTGGACAATAAGCAGCTGAAAGTATACTAAAATGTAACTACAACAAGAAGGCAGCCAGGTAACTATTTAATGGTATGCAGCACTTCACAGTTCTTTTTATATATAGCATATTTACTCATAGAGAAGAGCAGTAGTTTGCCCCATTTGAATATCTAATACATACTTCTTTTTCAGTACACACTGTATAAAAGGCACTTCCAAGGAATTAATAAATAATATCTCCTCTGCCCCAGCACAGATTTATACACGAAAGAAAGCTCAGTGAGATAAAATTAATATCACAAAGCATGCTCTTAAACCCAAATACCTTTTAAAGCCCAAAAGATATTAAAGGATTATAAAAGTGAGTTACCATATGATTCATTTTAAAAGGAAGTCTCTTCGCTACAAACTCCTTTTATATAAACAGCAGATAGTTGACTGGCTGGCTTTTCCATATGCGGCTATTTGTAGTCTAGGTAGGATTTCCATTACTGAACTAAAGAGTGCCTTTTGAAAATAAAAGCGTACGGTCTGTCCTGGGTTAAGCTTTCAAAAAGCCGTCTTCCATATATCCTGGGGTAAAACTGCACAAATACAGCCAATATTTTAAAGGAGGAATGGACTCTCTGAAGAATAGTTCTTCCAACACTGATCTTCAGACACAGCTTGATGTGAACGCTTGTGCAGAACTCACTTTCAAATAAACACCTCACCATCTTTTGTTGTCATGACAACAAGCGATCTCTCTATTCAGATGGCACAGATAATTCACAATCATATTACCCAATTATGTCCACCTTAAAATGAGAAAACACATGGAAGACACAACTGCAAAACAGCGTAACTGCCTTTGAGCAAGCCCCAGTGAGTATCTTGTCTTCCCTTCACACCAGTATCTGCACTGCCTTCAGCGGAGATGCTCCTGATGTGTAGGAGATGTAGGGTCTGACCCAGTTATCCACAGTCCAGTGCCATTTTGGGTGCCCTTGCTTGGCTTTCAGCTGTCAGATGAGGAGGACACGAGTCTCATGCTGTCCTCTGTCACATCTACCAGCCCCAGTAGACATTGAGGGGTCTTAAATGGCAGTAAGGGACCACAGGTGCACTGCTGACTGAAGCCTCCAGCATCACTGCCACAGTCCAACACAATGATACCTTAACACACCCCAAAATATACAAACCAACATTGCGGTGTGACAATAACACCCTATTTCATATATATATACACATACATACAAAATCTAGTCCTACTTATGTTCAAACCATGTTGCAAGTGACCGAAAACCTAGCCAAAGTTGTGAACAAAAGTTTCTCCTGGGATTTCAGGGGGAGATGGATGGTGAAACTCAAATACCATCACTGACTTCAATGATAATAAACTGGAAAGGAAGGAAAATTAAAAGAAAGAAGAACCAAAAAATAAAACTGCAGTGACCCATTTATCTTTTGAGTGTTCACTTTTGGCTAAGACATTTGTGTTACAAGAGGCTGAGCTATAAAACACAGGGATTTAGCATCTGCTGTCCTCCGCATATGGGGTCATCACCTTTCTTGATTAATGTTTCCAAAAGTTTTTAATGAGTTCAAATGCTGCAAGTGAAGTGGCCACAATGCCAAGGGAGTTTTTAGGTTTACTCTTCCTTTCAGATCGCTGCTGAAGAGCACACACACTTCCTGACCCAGAAGCTTTCTTCTCTATCAACTGGAGCATCTCCAAACAGAAATTTCCTTCCAGTAGTTCCTCTCCCAGTCTCTTCTTTCAGGCTTTGTCACCATCTGGAAACTCAGATGTTTCAGCTGAAGGAAGGACAACACCTGAGGAGGCTCCAAATCACTGTGCAGCTTTACAGCAACATCGCACGGAGACTTTTAAAAGCAGGTCTGCTATTCGGTACCACTGCTCACTATTTCTGCTCGGCTTCCTACAATTTATTCATTGCATTCAAAAGCAACAACACAAAGTACACTATAAATGAATTATCCTTTAATTTTTTCCTCTAGTGCACTCATAAAGTTTTCTGACTGACGGACCTGGAATCCACTTTCTATTTATGTACAGAAATGTGCAGGACAGTTCAAGCGCACGTAACTAATCTGTGCACTGGAATTGACCCAGAGGAGATGCTCTCAATACAGGAAGGCTTCTGACACGGCCCCATCACTCCTGGGAGCCGACACAATGATTTATAGCAACTAATAAAGGCCAAAGCAAAGCACTCTGTTTTATTGGAAGCACAGGACTGGCTGATGCCATCACTGAAAGCTGGAGAAATTTGGGAGGTCTTAATGTCCTTTCCAGTCTTGTCTTTGCCACACTAGACAACTCTACTATCTTTATGATCGTTCAGCCTTGTAAGCAGAGACTTTTCACACAATCCCAACTATTGTTCCCCTGCCTTCCCAATGTGACATGCCACCTTTTCTTCCACAGAATCATTAAGAAATATCTTTAACATTCATCCCTCCTACTAACATATTTATTATCCA